CCTGGGCTCCCTGGGGCACACAAGATGCTGGGTGAGATCCAGTTAATTAGCCCAGGAACAGCTTTTGTTTTCCAGACAGCAAAATGTCAGCTCAGACATAAAGATGCAGACAGGAGCCGGCTCCTCTTGTGCTGGAGGGGAGGGAGCTGCTGCCCGGGCCACAGCAGGCACTGGGAGTCTCCTGGAGGGCTGGAGCACAGCACGATCCTGTCACCCCCTGAACCGTGGGGTGAGTCCCCAGGGACAGCAGCTGCAAGGACAGACAGACAGAAACACCCCCAGAGCTCATCACAGAACCACGGAATGGCAGGTGGTCTCCAGGACCACCGAGTCCCCCGCACTGCCAACGTCACCATTTACTCCGGTTCTCCAGTGCCACGTCCACAGGGCTTTTAAACCCCTCCAGGACGGGACTCCACCGTTGCCCTGGCAGCTGTGCCAGGCTGCACAACCCTTGGGGTGAAGACATTTTCCCGCTGCTCAGCCTCAGGGTCCCCTGGGTTTGTTTCCCCCTGTCCTGCCCTCGTTCCGCGGGAGCAGAGCCCGGCCGCACCCGCACCCGCTGAGCACAGCGAGCCCCTTTGTCTCGCTCTCCTTCGGGCACATCCCGCTGCAGCCCCGCGGGTCTATCCGCCACGGACACGTCTCATTATTCTTATCAGCCCTTGAGCCGCCACTTCCCCGGTTTGTTTTCCGAGGAAAGGCAAACAGCGGCGGCCGGGGAGGACCCGCGGCAGGGCTGCTCCCTCTGCCCTCCCCTCCGCACGGCTGCCCGGGGCACACGAGCTCCTCTGAGCACCGGAGCAGCTCCTGAGGTGCCCTGGGCCAAAGGGTGCCTGGGCTGCTGCAGAGCTGCCCACCCGAAACCTGCCCTTCACGAGCGGAAAAGAGAATATTGTGTTGTAAAGTATTTTATACACTGCAGGCAGAAGTATTTTAAAATGAAATAAATCGTATTTTGGGCTCCCCGTGGAAAGCCTGCAGGGTGTATAAACCAGTGCTGGGAAGAGATGCCGTCTTCTGTGGCACATGAAAAAGGAATAAAAGAAGCTTCAGGGACCGAAGAAAGAAAACAACGTGGTAAATTGTTGTTTGACCTAAAGAGTTTCCTAAGGTGAAGGCGAATGGAGCTCTCCAGAAGCCAATAGGTAGGTCACAAGCCAATTGAGGTAAAGTGTGAAATAGGCATTTTTGCAGCAGGTAAGGTGTCCTGTGGTGGGGAGTTGAGAGCAGCTCAGTCTCCAAGCTCTGTGCTCACCTGTCCTTTCCAGCAGCTCTCCTGAGTGAGATGCAGCGTGCCTTAACCCCTCTCTGTGTGCATACATGTATGTATTCTCCCTCTCTACGGGCAGGTGTTGTGATGACCATCCACAAGGGTTCTTTCCACCAGCTCTCAGCCTGCCCCTGGTTTGGGCCCCTTGTTGGTACCAGCCCACCCTGAGATGCTGACATCTGAGTCCTCCTGATGACAGCACCAACAGGTAGAAGCAGCTGGATGCAGGAGCAGCCTGTTCCCTTCACACTCCCCCACACCACAACAGCTCAGCACGAATTGGACTGACTGGGAATTTCCACTTGTGCTCCAGCACACTTTCGTTCCTCGTTAGGGATATATCATCAGTTCGGGTTAAATCAGCTGTTAACGGAACAAAACATTCAGTTTAATGGAAATCAGTGGTATAAAATCCCAGATTTTGCAGAAAATGCATTAAGAGGCAGAGCTGGAAGGAATTCAGCTCCAGCTCTACCAGACAGAAACCAAGTCAGCTCGAGGCATATGCTGGAGCGATGGAGGAAAAGGTGCTAATGCAACATGCTTAGTGTTGTGCTCCAAAATAAGAACAGCTCGGCGTGGCAAGCAGGAAGGCACTCGTTTGCTGGCTGTGGAAGAAGGCATGGAACAGCGTGGCTGAGAAAAAATCTGCCTCGTTCTTTACTCATGCGTTTGGACCTTTTGCAGCTGAAGCACTGCAGCCAGAATGTGCAAGCTGCTGTAGCCAGGATGTGAGATCTCCACTGGCAGTGCCAGCAGGCTCAGAAGGGCCGTGCTGAGCTGCAGCCTGCCCGGGAGGGCAGGGATCAGCTGCCTGGGCAGCACAGGCTGCTCAGGTACAGAGATTTGCCATCAACCCTGCCGGGGCAGGGAGGCAGCTTGTGCCTGTAATCCATGTCAGCCACCACCACAACCAGGGTCTGTTCAGCAGCCCACCCTTCCCAAGAGCCATTGAAAAGTGAGATGACACTCAGAACAAGGTTACAGGGATGAGTTAGGTGTCTTGGAAAATCCTGCCCTGGCAGGGAAGACTAAGTAAATTGTAGTCTCAGACCAGATTATAAATCTGAGTTTGGAGTGTGTAGTAACAGATCAAGAGTACTGCAGGTGAAGAATGGGAAGGATGGATCCAGTACAGAGCCCTTCTGCCTTCAGGTGTTTGCACTTTTGTGTTCATCCTTCAGCACACACCCTGGTACCTCAGGAATGTCCTGCCAGTCCAGCTGTCACCTCTCCATGCAGCCACGGATTCCCCAGGGGCATCTCCCTGTCGTGTCAGCGTTCCCCCTGAGGTCAGCGTGATCTGCAGGTGCCTGGGCGAGCACAGCACACACAGAACATCCTCTGGGCAGATCGTCATCCTCTGGGCACAGCACCATCCTCTGGGCAGAGCACTATCCTCTGGGCAGAGCACCATCCTCTGGGCAGATCATCTTCCTCGGGGCAGATCACCATCCTCTGGGCAGAGCACCATCCTCTGGGCACAGCACCATCCTCTGGGCAGATCATCATCCTCGGGGCATAGCACCATCCTCTGGGCAGATCCTCATCCTCGGGGCAGAGCATCATCCTCTGGGCAGATCATCATCCTCTGGGCAGAGCATCATCCTCTGGGCACAGCACCATCCTCTGGGCACAGCACCATCCTCTGGGCAGATCATCATCCTCTGGGCAGATCATCATCCTCTGGGCACAGCACCATCCTCTGGGCACAGCACCATCCTCTGGGCAGATCATCATCCTCTGGGCAGATCATCATCCTCTGGGCAGATTATCATCCTCCAAACAGATCCCCATCCTCTGGGCAGATAATCATCCTCTGGGCACAGCACCATCCTCGGGGCACAGCACCATCCTCCAAACAGATCCCCATCCTCGGGGCAGAGCAGCCTCCTGCCACTCCCGCTCCTGCTGTGCTGCCAGCACGGCAGCTGCCCAGGGCCTGCTCCCCTCAGCCTGGCTCCAGCACCAGCACAAAGCCCAGGAATGCCTCCTTCCTTAGCAGCTGTGTGCTCCCAGAATTGCTGCTCCAACCTTTTGTCTTTCCGGTCTGGATCTGCAGCGCTGCTCAGGTAAAGCAGGCTGGAGCTCAGTGTGTGTGTTTACTGATGCTATCGGCATGACTCAAAATTTGCTCAAGACAGGGAACTCAAGGAAGCTGCCACGAGAAGCTGCAGTGAGCCATGGCACTGAGACTTCACTAGTGAAACAGCTCTTACAAAGGGATAGAGAAACTAAAAGGTTTCCCCTCTGCTAATAGCATCGGTTTGCATATTTTATTACTTTTTTACACAATAATCCAAGTCCTTCATTAAAATAAATTCTGCTTTGGGTCATACAGCTGATTCTCAGAGCAGCAAGATGGCTTTTCCCTAAGCTGGCGTGGTAGGCTTGATATCATTGCACTGCATTTGCCATGTGTCTGGCTCGTGGGTTGGGTGTTTGCTTTCCTGGGAATATGAAGAGTCAGGATTCGTTTTTCCAGTGCTCTCAAATCCTAGAGGGCACCACAGAACAGCTCTGCAAACCGGGCTGGCTGTACAGCATGGATTTCACAGGTGTTACACTTCTTGTGTCCTTTTTTGCTTTCCTTTCTCTTCACATTCATTTTGTATTAAAATTTAAAAGATTCTTAAAATACTGAATAAGCAGTTGTTAGTGGATAAAAACAGAAGGGGGAAAAACCCTAACATACAAGAAGGAAAGATATTGCATTTACAAAACTGAAGCTGTTGCTTTGACATTGTAGCTTAAGTTGCCCCAAAAGTGAAGCCAGGCCAGTGACTCCATCTGCAGCCACTTGCATATTCCCACAGGGGTACAATATGCAGCTGATTTCCCAATTAAGCTTTCCAAGCAAAGAAGTTTTATAATTTAAACAGACTCAAAAGTTTGAGGAATGAATACATATTCATGAAGGACTAATAACACTCTGTCTAGAACACAGCTTTGAGCTGAGAGCAGCTCTGACTGGCTCATGTCTCACCCACCACACTTAGGGAAAATGGGAACGAGGAAGAAATGGCTGAAACCAGCAGATTGTGTTTTGCCAAGACAATAAATAATAACCATATTCTGACTCAAGTGCCAAATGTATAGCGCTTAATTAGAGGTCAGTAGAGCATATTTCTGCTCAGCTGTTCCATTTACAGCAATTAACATGTTCGTGTCACTTAAATTGGGCTGCAGAGCACATTTCAAAGGGTTGAGTGAAAGCAGAATCAGGGAAGGGCTGCTCCACCTCCGGCAGCAGCTCGGGAGCAGCACCCTCGGCACCCACGCACCGGCAAAGACGCGGGACAGAGAGGTCTCAGCCCCGGCGCAGCCCCACCCTGCCCCACCCCTCTGAGGGGACGCCGTCCCGTCGCTGCGGGAGCTGCAGTGACCCTGCCCCATCCCCGAGAGGGCTGCAGGGACCCTGCCCGGCCAGCGCTGCCCGTCCCGCCGCCCGCCCGGTGCGGTGACACCGCCGCACGCCGCTGGCCGAGCCCGGCTCCACGCCCGCCGCACCGCGCGGCTCCACCGCCGCCCCCTCCCCG